CAAGGTCCTTGTGGCCAGAATCTGGATCTAAGTTTCACAGAGCTAGAGCAGTCTGGGGTACCCACAGATTTACAAGGAATGACGTAAACTGACCTAATTCAACAAAAGTCTAAGGACAAACTGGACTCCAGTTTAGACTTTAAAACTGGGAATTGGAAATTACCAAGCATAAGGGCCCTTCAAAAAGTACATTAGAGTAAAAAAGGTATGACTTTATCCTAGGGATTATCCTCCTGCATGTGACCACCAAATGGAAACTCTGCCTCTCTCAGGATATTTTAAGGATATTTTTGCCACTCTTCAAGGGCCAGTTCAGTGCCAGGAGCTCTGTTAGATAGATCCTCCCCAAATCCTCTCAACCTTGAATTAGTTCAGAGAACTAGTTGGAAAGCAGGACAGCTCTAGAGTCAGCGAGCTTAGACAGTAGTCCTAATTTGATCATGTACGTGTGTGTGTGTGTGTGTGTGTGTGTGTGTGTGTGTGTTCCCAGACTATTCACCTCTCAGAGCCTCAGTGGTACCACTTGTAACAAGAGGATATTTGTTATTCAATGATTTTACAAAAATCATGAGCCCCTATTATGCCAGGTACTAGGATGGGAACTGGGGTTACAAAGATGAACAAAATACAGTCCTTGCTCTCATATGGGTCCCCATCTGATCTGGGCAACAAATAAGTTAACAGCCAGTGGCTTCAGTGTCCAAAACAGGAGCCACCAGCCACAAGGATCCATTAAGCACTTGAAATGTGGTTCATCTAAGTTCAGAAGGGCTATAAGTGAGTGCAAAATTCATACCAGATATCAAAGATTTAGTAAGATTGAAAAAGAATGGAAAATATCTCATTAGTACTGACTACAAATTAGTTGATAATATATGGAAATATTAGGCTAAATAAATAAATTATTAAATTCACCCATTTTGACTGGGGAATTTGCTCAATGTCTGAGGGCTTGCCAAGCATGAACAAGGCCCTGATTTCCATCCCCAGCACCACAAAGAAATTTAAAAAAAAAAACAACTTTTCATCACTTTTTTTTAATGCAGCTACTAGAAAATTTTATGTAACTTATGTTGTATTCCTATTTGACACTCAGTCCTGGTCAACAAAATTCAGTGAGATCAACAAGGGCTAAGATAGGTCAATAACAGGTAAGGGTGGATGGAAAGTTTCAGATGGCCCTGATGAGAATGGCGAATGTCAGCAAGGGTTTCCCAACAATGACACCTAAATTGAGACCTGAAAAATGATGTGTTAATAGGACAAAGGGCAAAGGGCAGTGGGGAGAGTAATCCAGATAGCAGGTACAGCAAGTGCCCAGGTCTGGCAGTAAGAAACGACATGGCAGCCAGGCATGGGGAAGGGGCTCAGGGAGGAGGCAGAGTTGGGAAATTAGGCAGAGAGGAGGCTACTGAAGCAGATGGCGCCAGAGTATGAAGGACCCCGGAAGCCCTATTAAAGAGCTTCACCCTGAAAATGGCAGGGAGTCATGGAGGGTAATGGCAGTTACCAGGTATGTAGGTAGCACCTGGGTCATGCAAAGGCAAGGAGGGGAAGGAAAGGAATGTTTGCAGATCTGCGGAGTTTCTACTGTAGGTTAAACATGGGTTAAACCCTTTCAGACTCATTTTAATTCTTATGCCAACCCTGAGCTTTAAATGAATACATTTTACAGATGGCAAAAACTCAGCTCACAAGATGAGTGGCTTGCCCAGGGTCACAGGATTGTCAGTGAAAGAAATGGCATTGAACCCAGTTAAGTCTGGGTCCCAAAGCCCAAAGGTTTCCCACCAACACTGAGATGAAAAGAACTCTCTGAGATGAAAAGATCAGATTTATGTGAACAAGTAAAAAACAAAGCTTTTGAGTGTATTAAAGACTATTAGATGAGTGAAGGAAGTCAGGACAATCTGGTGAGAGCCAGTGTGGTAAAATGGAAAGACAGAGACAGGATGGACTTTCACAGGATCCAATTAGCAGGAGCTTCAAAGGGACTTGCTCTCTGCCTAATATCCAGCAGGTTCTCAATCAACAGAGTATCCCAATAAACTCTACTGTCATGTATAACTAAAAAGAATAAATAAAATAAATAAGTAAACATAGTAACCATTTTCCAGGTTTGCCCAAGGTGGAAATTGTTTATGTCTATCTTGCTATCCAGGCATAAGTATTAACTGTGCCCACTTGACTCTTAAAAGCATCCTGGTCTGCATAACAAATAACATGGTCACCTTTCAATTAGGCTCTGTTGACTAAAAACAGCAGCCTGTCCTACAGAACTGGATAAACACTACAGGTTCTCAGGGCTCTCCTCCATTTCTTCCTACCCACTCTACTACCAGGAGTCCAGAACAATCAAAGGAACCCAGCCTGGAGCAGTCTAGGCCTCCATCAAGTCTACTACAGAAAGAAGAGACTCCAGCAGGACCATTGGGGGTCACTCTCAGCCAACATTCCTGATTTCTACCACTATTGATAATATAGGTTCAACATCCCCAATTTGAAAATCCAGAATCCAAAGTACTCCGAAATTCAAAACTTTTTGAGCACCCATATGAAAGTCCACAAAGTGAAAATGCCACACCTGACCTCAGGTCACGGGTCCCAGTCAACCTGAAGGCACATTAAAAATACTGTACAAGGGCTGTGGTTGTAGCTCAGTGGTAGAGCGCTTGCCTAGCACATGTGAGGCGATGGGTTCAATCCTCAGCACTACATAAAAACAAACAAAGGTATCGTGTCCATCTCAACTAAAAGAAAAAAAATAAAATATTGTACAAAATTACCTTTAGGCTTTGTATATGTAAAACATAAATAAATTTCATGGGGTTTTTTTTTGGTTTTTTTTTTTTTTTTTTGCACTATGGATTGAACTCAGGGGCACTTAATTACTGAGCCACATCCCCAGACCTTTTTATGTATTTTATTTAGAGACAGGGTCTTGCTAAGTTGCTCAGGGCCTCCCTAAATTGCTGAGGCTGGCTTATGAACTTTCCATCCTCCTTAGCTCCGGAGCTGCTGAGATTACAGGTGTGCACCACTGTGCCTGGCAATAAATTTCATGTTTAGATTTGGGTCCCATCTTCAAGTTATCTAATTATGTATTTCAAATATTCCAGAAATCCAAAAAAAAACTACAAAATACAAAATTCCTAGCATTTCTGATCCCAAGTATTTCAGATAAGGGCTACTCAACCTATTGTAGTAATAATAAGGCAACACAGTATACTTTTTTCAGCACTGGTACCAGGCCCTACACTTGTCAAGCAAATTTCCAGGCAACTATCACTTCTTTTAGTCCTCACACCAATGATAATGTGAGGGTATCACCACTAGCCCATTATACTGATGGGAAAGCTGGTCAAATCACTTTACCACCATCATACAGCTGGTCAGTTTACAGGACTGGATTGGATTCCAGTTCTGTCCATCTCCATCCAAGGTTCTTAACCATTACACTCCATTACCTCTGTCTGCATAGCCACTGTGTGTCCCCCATAAACAAAGTCTAGACAGACATAATGACTACTTGCCTCATAATGAATCACCAGTGCCCTCGAGGCCCCTCCCTGTCCTCCATCCAGCCCCCACAGATGGCAGACTCCAAACGGTTCTCTCTCACCCGACTCTTTTATAAAACCCTTTACCTGTTTGTCCTCCACAACCTCTTCAAAAGTATGTCCCCAAGTATCAGCCTAGTGCAGTGTAGGTGGGGACCCAGAGCCCACAGTATCAGCAGGTGGGCTCTTCAGAGACCCTTCCCGAAGGAGCCCACCCAGTGCACTGCCCCTGGCCACTCTCAAACACCCTCAATAGCAAACTCCAAATCCGGTTAGGGAGAACCCCCATCAGTGGGGACCCCGGCCTCCAATGTTGCGGCCGCACCTGCAGCCGCTGAGCGTCCCGGGGAGGGTGACGTCCTCTTCCAACACGGAGTCCATCATGGACACAGAGGCATTGATATCTGTGGCGAAGGCGCCACTGGTTCCGCTGGCTTGTCGCGATCCGCCTGGCTCCCAGGTCCCCGCCCCCTCTAACCCAGCTCTTGTTGGGACTCCGGCGGCGCCGCTGGAATTCAAACCGCAGCCGCCGCCATCTTTCCGGTCGCTTCTTCCTACGGAAATGAGGCGGGGTCAACGAGGCGCGCGCAGTGAAGCCAATCTGCCAAGGCCAGAGGCCGGGCAGGGACAGGTGGGCAGGCGCCATCTTAACTAAGGGCAGAGCTTTTTCGCTTGGGCCGTCCAAAACTAAGGAAGGAGAAGCTGGATGCCATGTTTTTTTAGGGCACCCAGGCTGAGGCCAGGACCGGCGCCATCTTTGTTGAGGGTGAACGCTGGTCCTGATCCGTTAATTTAAGCGGGAGCTGAGAATATAGCTCACCGCAGCTCAGAGTTTCTTAACCAATGTTTGCTTTTCTAGAACCTTGGAATCTATACACCAAAGAGTCTTCCTTCTCGAGTTGAAACTCAGATATATCAGGTACTGCTTCGCTTTAGAAAATTTCTGCCTGCGGGGTCCTAAAGTAAGCGTACTTTGCACACAGTTTGAAACAACTCATCCCCCAAGCCAAGTGGCCAGCCATACTCCCACTCCAAGCTCGCATTTAGTGATCTTTTGTTACCATTGAGACTCGCACCTACAATCTGTAAATAGGCCCAATCAGTAAACTCGCCCAAGTTAATTACACAGTAAATTTACTGTCAATTGGAGCCAGATGTGCGGCTCCTGACAACTGGACCATGGCTCTGGGTGTCTTTCTTAATGCACAGCCTGTCTTTCCCATTTGTTTCTTTTACTCCATCTTAGAATTTGGGACTAAGACATTCGGTCTACATCCAGACAACACAATATTTAAGTGGTGTGTTGGCCTCTTTTCCTAAAATAACGGCTTCAGGGTGGCTAAGAGGTGAGTTTTAATGGGGACGGTGTGACTGCCGGACTGGACATCTGAGTGCCTGGATTCTGAGTCCAGTTCATCCTGTAACCTGGAGATATCTTACCCTTGCTGCACCTAGGTTTCCTCATGGATAAAGTGAGGCAGATAATGTCAAGCTCACATGGTTGCATTTTCTAATGAGATACTTAAAGTATTAACCCGTTGCCCTATTCAGCAATACCATGCTTCTAGATTATGTGCTAACCCCGCCAGTGATCCTGGAAACTGAAAATAGAATTGATTGCACAAAGGAAAGTCTATGTGGGAAGTTGTTTTTTCTTCTGCAGTAGAAACACACAGTAGTATTTCATGATCAGAGACAGAGGCCTTTGCCCTGTCTGTCTCACTATGGCTTTTCTTGCTGCCAACCCTGGAGGCAATATTACTGCTACCAGCTGTTTGGACTGTCTGAAGCCATCTCCTTGACAGCGGCCATCCAGCCACAAAGCTGGCATTATTATTTCCTTGAACAAGGTCACTGAATGGCTGGAAAGAGCTTACATCTAAAAGTCCTTTATCTGGGGCGGAACCCTTCTGAAATTCTTCATCCACTGAGTTTAACATCTATGGGCAATTCTAACTCAAAATAGTTTTTGGAGTGGTATGTGCCAATTTGATCATTTTTGTCCCCGTCATTCTTTCTCTATTAATTGGAATTCTACTGTATGGAAAAGCTGCTGCTTCTCCCCCATTTATTCATTTATTTGATTGTTTATTTACATCAAATATGGACTCATGGCTATAAGTGTTATTTTATGTGTTATAATTCCTTACTATCATTATGTGTTTTGTTACATGATCCCAATTTGGCCACGATGCCCTTCTAGCACATGTCTGTGCCACAATTCAAGCCTAGATCTGTCTGGTCCCAAGGTCAGCAGTATTTCCTGGAACACCAACCTGCCCCTTTGCTTTCAAGGACTTGTCTAAACCAACCCTTGGCATTAGCAGTCCTTGTTAGGGGCCAATTCCAATGAATATGCACTGTCTTCTCAAAGCTTGTTGGTGTACCAAGCCACTGATGCCTCTGAGCCCAACATCTAGCCCAAAGCTATGGACACAGTAGGTGCTCAATGCCAGTTTGTCAAATTAACCCCAAGCCAGACTTTGCATCAAGATGGAAAGAGGAAGGCTATGGTTGTGGCTCAGAGGTAGAGCAGTCGCCTAGCATGCGTGAGGCACTGGGTTCGATCCTCAGCATCACATAAAAATAAAGATGTTTTGACCACCGAAAACTAAATATATGTATATATAAATTCTCTCTCTCTTTAAAATAAATAAATAAATAAATAAAAATAAAATGAAGATATTGTTTCCACCTAAAAGTAAATAAATATTTTTTAAAAAAGATGGGAAGAGGAGAGTGACTATCGTGCACAGCAAACTACAAGATATTTGGGAACAAGTAGAAAAGAAGAGCTCAAGTCTCCAAACAAAAAAGCATTAAGGAGCTGGAAGTGCTAATCACCCTGATGCAATCAGTACATAAGGCACACATGTACTAAAATAGCACAAATATGTTAGATTATTAGGTGTTAATTTAAAATAACTGAAAGATAGGAAGAGGAAAGAGCAATACCCCACATCAAAGGAGTAGAATGTGGATTATTAGATTAAAAAGGGTAGTACACATCAACATGAGAAGACCTTAGACTTGGAATTCAACTCTCTGGGCCTGTTTTCTTATCTTTATATTGAGTGCTTCAGACTACAATATTGAGGCCCCCTCAGCTCTGATGTTCCATGAATAACTGACATCAGCCACCATGTATTGAGCTGTCTGTGCCAGGCACGGTACTGAGTACACTCAATCCTCACAATCATCTTATGAAACAAGGACTGATTATGCCCAGTGTTATAGTTGACAAAGCTGAGGTTCAGCAAGAAGGATCTTCTGGCCATGGGAGGAAATCCAAACATGCCATCCTAAAATACATTGCTTTGGCATAAGGATGATGTTGAACTAAAGGCAGTTGAGAATCAGCAATATACAGGAGGAATTCTCTGCCTTCCCTTTTCTGTCTAAAAACAAGGCATATGTTTGCCTTTATGAATCTCTCACCCCCTCCATTCATTTCCCCTGTAGACTCCCAGTCACTGCCCCATGACTTGTCATCCCTTGAAGCCGGAACTCCATTTCCTTTGTTAAAACATCACATAAGCCAGGCATAGTGATACACACCTGTAATCCCAGTGGCTTGGAAGATTAAGGCAAGAGGATCATGTGTTCAAAGCCAGCCTCAGCAACTTAGTAAGACTCTGTCTCCAAATAAAATATTAAAAAATGGCTGGGAATATGCCATGTGGCTTAGTGGTTGAGCCCTTGGGTTCAATCCCCAGTATTAAAAAAAAAAAAAAAAAGCAGCATATAAGCTCCCTCATCTAACTACCTGTTTGACTTCTGTGAACTCCTGTACACAGAACTATTAGTGAAAACTGTACATCTTTCCTCCTGTTAATCTGTCTTTTGTTAGTTTAATTCATACCTCTCAGTACTAAGCCTAAGAGGGTAGAGGAAGATTTTCCTCCTTGACACCGTCTAAGCAGCGAGGTGGGGGAGCTGTAGTGTGAACCCATGCTCTTAGCCATAGGCCCTCTCATGAGTTGCTGGAATCTCTGCCCTCAAGAAGCCGGCTCAAGTACACAAATGATACAGCAAAGTAAAACACCTTAAGTACTTTGTTGATACAAGGAAAATAACGTAAGATTCTAGGGGTACCCAGAGAAGGGATGGAATCATTCTGATGGAGGGATTAGAGAAAGGTCTTTTACCAGTAAGATCCAGGCCCCACAAAAACAGCATTGAAACCCTATCAACAACAGAGTACACTGTTTTGAGTCTCACTTTTTGAGGCCCACAGAACAGTTCTGAGACAACTGTGTCATTCTTTTATGGATAAGGAAATTGAAGGTCAGAGACAGGAACTGATTTTCTCAAAGTCACACAGAAAGCTAATTACAGAGAAAAGAACTTGGATTTCAGTTTTGTTTCCTGAAAGCTGGTACTCCTAAGCTTTTTGAAACTTACAGATGGCATAGATGCATCCCAAGCCAAGATCTCCCTGCCTAAATTGATGATCCTCAGTACCATGGCCAGATCTCTGGGCATCTAAGCCCTGGGTCTAGCTGTAAGAGAACCAAATGCTATTGAAAAAAATTATCCTCAGATGCCAGGGAGGCCTTTCAAGCACCCTCTCCAGCTCTACATTTGAATATGTAAAAGAGCAATCATTCCAGGCGAAGAAGGATAATCGAATAAATTAATTCTCTGGACATTTTGCAGTTTAAAAGATGCACACACAGCCTTTAGACTTTTGGGAGAGGATGGTAAAGTTCACCTCTCTCTTAACGGCAATGAACTCACATTAGAGGGCAGGTCAGGGCCTAGAAAGGCTGGGAACTTCCTCAGAAGGATGAGGGCAGGGCTGCTTTGCTCTTGCAGGAGCCTCCCTCTCTGGCACACCAGAACACTGTAAGGGTACTTTGAGCCAAAGGATGAGGAGTGCAGGCCCATCTGCCCTGCTTGACAAGCCATGAGTCCCTCCCAAAGAAGAGCTGCCTGTTCCGCCCTCCCACAGGGAAACTCCCTGTGCTAGTGGTTTATCATCTGTGATTCCTTCCCCTTCTATGCCTAATTCCCAGGGTCCTTCCAACCACAGTTCAAGAAGAAGCCTGTTGGAGAGATGCCTTACTCTGGACTCCCACAACACCCTGAACTGATGATCTTCTGTGTGAGACTTATCCCAGCTCCATAATCGGCTATTAGGTTGGCCATCTTTCCTATGATCCCGTAAGTTCCTTGAGATGAGGATCTTATTTCAAGTCTATTTTATTGAAATGGAGTTTATATACAATAAACTGGATTCCGTTTAAGTTACCCGCTGAGGAGCTTTGGCAAAATACACACCCACGTAGCCACCACCCATCAACTGTGCTCTCCAATGGAACTTGGTTAACAGAAATATTCTAGATTTTTGGTGTCTTATAGTCACTAATTACATATGGCTATTGAACTCTGGGAAGGTGGCTGCTTGATGAAGGAACAGGATTTTTAAATATTTTATGTAGTTAGCTTAAATAGCCCCATGAGGACAGTGGCTACCACATTAGCATAGGAATAAAGCATTTCTCTCACCTCAGAAGTTTCCTGGTGATCCAGTTATATCCATCTCCCTTCCACCTGGGCAAGTTATTGACCTAGTTTCTGTCATTGAAGGTTTTTCTTTTCCTGCAGTTTCAGGTAACTGGAATTGTACCGTTTGTCCCCTTTTGTGTCTGAAGAGCAGGGACTTTTAATTCTGTCTCCTAGGGTCTATTATGGTGCTGGCAGGTAATAGGGGTTCAATAAATGTTGGTGAAAGACTGAATTCATAAAATCTTGACCAGAATTAACAAACTTATGCCCTAGTCCCCTTTCCTTCCCACATAATGGAATACAAGAATGGAAAAGGCCGTCACCGGGAACATTTCAGTAAATGTCTTGGATGTACCAATGGAAAAACTGAGCTCCAGTTGGGTTCAGTGGGCTGCCCAAGTTCACTGTAAACTTATAATAGAGCATGAATTAAACCCCAAATGTGCAGACTCCCAGGGCTGCGACTCCCTCACTTCACAATCTCCACTCTCCAGCCGCTCCACCCCCCCCCCCAGCAAGCACAGCAACTCCTAATGGATCTCGGTGGCACCGCAGAATGTCCATGAGATGCCACGTTGCCTCATTCAGCATCCTGGCACCAGATCACATGCTCAAAACAGAAACAGCATCAATTCAACCTAAAAAACCATCTCATTTCATTTCAAATGTACCCAAAACCTAGGAGCGGGCTTATTCCAATACTGGTTACAGATTGGGTTTCTAGTTGGAAAATAAGCCACAGGGCACTTGATCCAATTCTCCAGTCACTAGAGAAAGAACAGCACCAGATTTTGGGAAGGCAGGGGGTAAAGTTTTGACTGAAGATTTCTTAAAGGGAGAGAAGAAGAGAACTATCCTTCGTGGTAGGCCTTGCGTGTGCCTGGGTGCTTCACATGTGAGACTTCACCTAACCTTACGGTGACCCTGGAGGTCAGCAGAATTACTCCTTTTACAGGACTAAGAGCTACCTATTAACTTGCCCAAGATGCTAGAGCTGTGAGGCTTCATCTGGAAGACACACCTCTTTGCTTCAAAAGCAGATCCTCTTTGTGCTACAACCTATTATTTTCTACAACCCAGAAAAAAAGATTTTCTGTTGGCATTCCAATATTCACTGTAGGTTGCTGGGAAGCTCATAGCTATGTTAGTTGTCCATTGCTAACATAGCCTCTTTAATTTGAATTTTCTGGAATACTTCTATTTCCTCCTTGATATGCTTAAAGATTTAATGAT